AGAACAAAAAAACTCAATTATTGTTCTTTTGTTTAACCATTGGTCTTACTCTTTTCTTGTTTAAGAAATAAAAGTACTTATTTCAGGTTTAGAAGCGATATTAACACGGTTTTTGATGTGACGCGAACTTGCTGTTTCGTATAATCGACCTAAAATCGCATCGGATGGTTTAATTCATAAGAAAAATCTTCCATTTCTCTGAAGATTTCGCTTCGATCTTATTCGCAGCTAAAAGTATTGTGACTGGTTGTCCAAACATCCGCGTAGGGCTGCGAGAACTTAATATAGCAGCGCGACTCGCGTAAAGCAGACTAGCTTTCGTCTTGGGCAAACTTTATCGGTTTCAATTAGGCGACAATGGGTTCACAAGCTAGAGTGGCTCAATTCAGAGGGTGACAAAGGGTTTTTGCCTGAAGCATGATCGCTCCAAAATTAGCAGCGTGACGCGTGAATTGGACCAAATTAGCCTCGTGATGCGGAACAGGACATCATAACGTGATGCGTGATTTGCTATTTTACAAGCACGTGACGCGTGATTTGTCACTTGGATTTCCGTCATAAGTGAACGTTCTCTCAACTAAAACTGATACTATTCATTTAAAGTAAACGGTAAATAGAATCTTAAAAGAGATCAATAAATCGTGGCAGATGTGACACCATTTTCTGGTCCTTTTCGTCATTTTTCTTGATCTCTGATGTCTTTGATGTTGGTCGATCATCATGGTACTATAGGTCCAAACAATTGTGACACAATAGGAATAAGTCAATTGAAAACAGTTAAACTTTGCACTATAAGCTTCAATGTTACTTTTGTCTATTTTGTCGACCGATCATTTTTGGCACTGCAGACCATATCAGACCATATCCGAATCCGGCAATCAATCAATCCATCCATCCATCCATGCATCCATGCATCCATCCATCGATCAATCAATCAATCAATCATCGTATGAAAGGTCTGAAAGAATGTCGTCCTAAACTCGGGGGATCCCAAACGGCTGAAGAGACGTTAGATTTTGGTGTCATTTTATGCCGCTCGAGAAGACAGTGAGAGGCTACACAAAGAAAACGTTTGTGAACCACTCATGAAGGTCGTCACAAAGACCTGACTGAATTCAAAAGCCACGTTATGTCATCCACAGACATAACAACGTTGCTGTACGGAAGAGAATTTGCAGGGGTGAAGCTTTGACACAAATATTGCCTGCATATCAAAGCATGGCAAAGGTGGCGTAGACATCTCCTCAATTCGTATACACGATTTCTGCCAACTTAGCCTGTGAACAGGCTCCCGATTATGTTATAGAAGAAGGAAAGAAACAGGCGGG